TGTGATCCACTCTGCAGGAGTACTGGTGTCTCTTCAGCTCCTCCTCGCTCACTCTCAGACTCTTCCTGACCTGGAAGCTCCCGTCTCCGTTGGGCAGCACCTCCCCACTGTGCACATCCTCCTGCAGGTCCTGCCCGTCTCTCTGCAGGTGGACCACGATGTCCTTGGGGAAGAAGCCGGTGGCCAGGCAGGTCACCTCAGGCCCCTGAGACCCAGAGACTCTGGAGTACACAGACACCTGGGGGCGCTCTGGAGAGAGAGAGGGCAGCACTGTAAGACACTGCGGATCTGACCCAATGAGCTGTGTGCCAGCTGTCGTCCTCTGTCCTCTCAACACCAGAAACAGCAATACTTTTCTGCACAATACGACTGTGACGCGTCACACACCACAGTGACAATTATATTCAAGTGACACGTCAGTAACATACCATTATATTTTTATGGTTTTGATTCTCTATCAGCAATGTGCTAAAAGCTGTTAAAATATATAAATCTCTGTTATAAATGTTCAGAGCAACAATAACAGAACCTGCGAGGAAGACACTGTCCTCAGAAATGACAAGAACAATAATAATCATCTTCATAATTCCTCACGCTTCTGCAGCTTGTCAGGACACTCCACTCAGAGCTCATGGATGATGTGCCAGTCTGCTCTCCACACACCAGCTCTGCACTCAAACTATTTCTGTATCCAGTCTCTACACTGGCTCTGCCGGCAGGTCCCCAACACTGACCCCACCCTGACGGTCAGCACTGAGGAAGACGAAGAGCAGCACTGTACCTGTCCTCAGCAGGGTCTCCCGCCCGTACTCCACGTACTTCTTCACCCACTCGATACAGGTGTTCTCCAGGTAATTTGTCTGAAACCTGGCGTCAGCGCCAGTAGCATCCCACTTGTTCTTAGTGATGACAGCCCTCTGGTTGGCCGCAGTCCAGGTCAGGGTGCTCTTGTCCAGGCTGATGTAATCTGCCCCATCGTAGCCGAACTGAAAATACCCCCGAGTGGTGCCGTCACTGTCCAGCTCACAGCCGTACATCAGCTGCCACGTGTGGACTCCTGAATACAACACAAACACTTCTAAGACTCTGTCCTCATGCCGACACAGAACCACAGACTCACAAGCCCCAGCCGCTGCAGTGCCATGGTAGAGAGCTGCCAACAGAAAACTGACATCTAGAAGGTGGGAAACAACACAGGAAACACAACATCGCGCCAGACACACAAGAACGTTTTTCCTCATGCGCAACCTACTCAAATAAAAAAAAAACATACATGTCTTTAATTAGTGAAGTACAGAATGATGAGGACAGCTATACTGACCCATCCGACTGAAAAACACGTGGGATAGTGGATAGTGGATAGGATAGGACTGATCTAAACAGATCATCCTGCGGGATACAGACAGACAGCAGACAGATGGGGGAAACAGAAGAGTGGGACTTGAGCATCCACAAACACAGCTTGCTTTGGAAAATTAAAAGCAGACTGATCGTTCCTGGACTGAAACATCGTGACAGTCTCGGACCCTCCTGCTGTCCTGGGTCAGAGCCAGGTCGATTGGACACGAGACACAGTGCTTTATTCAATGAAGGGTTTAAACTGGGCGCGTTGATGCATCAGACTTTATCCCACTGGAACAGTCCCACACCAGGTGGCGCTCTCACTTTTAGCTCGGTGAAAGTGGGGCGTCCACCTGGCACCCTGCAAACTGGAGGCCAGAGCGATGGAGATGTCAGTGTGAGGAGGGTGTCCTGGAGGTCGTGGCGCTGTGGACTGAGGTGTGTTGTTGCAGTGTCTCAGAGAGACTGTCGTCACTGTGTAGCTCTGGCCAGTCCTCTCCTCCGCCCTTGTGGACGAGAGCTCACCTGCGGCCACCACAGTTGACCTGGCGATGTCTTTAACACAAACAGTCCCAGAGCGCGCTGTCAGACCGCTGTCCCCCTGATGGCTGTCAGGAGTCATCTCCCCTCTTCAGCGGCGACGGGGATCAGCTCCGAGTCTCAGGTCGTATCTCTGTTTGGACTTCTCTTGTTGGGGGTTTGCAGACTGTCACGCTCTGTCTGCATCGGGGAGTCGAGTAGGCATGTCCTCAGCTGTTGTCCCACTGACGGGTCTGCAGGACGGCAGCCATTCACCGGTGGGGTAGAGAGCTATGCTTGCTGTGCCTCCTAAGGAGGGTCTTCATGAGGAGATTTCTGACAGCCCGCGTGCTCACTGCTCTTTCTGCCTCCCCACTGGCCGGGGGGTAACGTGGGCTGGTCTGACGTCCAGAGTCATAGCCTTTGACAAAGTCTGTGTAGACAGAGCAGCGGAGCTGTGGCCCGTTATCAGAGACAGGCGTCAGGCTCGTAGGTGCATGATGGCTGCTGGGGATGTTGATCACACTCTGTCCACCTCCTCGTACCTGGACTAGTAATCAGCCGTGAGCTTGAAAAG